AATCAACTTCTCTGCCTCACTATAATAAGCACAGCCAAATTAAATTAGTATTTATTTATTTACATGTTGAGTTTAAATTAAACCTTTCCTGGATCCATCTGTCCGTTTACCTTCCAAGATGTGTTTGTTCATTTTAGGCTTTAGGTCACTTAAAGAATGAAAACTGCCTGACTTTTAGATAATCATATTCTGGGCATTTGTCAGCTCTGTTTTGCTTAGGAAGTCATCACATAACAGCAGTATTTAAATCTGTGTTTTTAGAAGTCAGCATGTATGCACATAACATGCTAAATGTGTACTGTAGACAATATAATTTGCTGTGTGGTTTTCCTAAGCTAGTTGCTTGTTTCTAGTTATTTAAGACTGGCACGTTGGGTTAATTCTCTCTTGAAAAAGCTGTTTTATGGTTTGCAGGTACTGCCCAGAGCAGCTGGCAGGACAGAGAATCAGCGTGTTCTCATACGGCTCTGGTTTTGCTGCTACTCTGTATTCCATCAGGGTTACACAAGATGCTACTCCGGGTGAGTGATGTGAGGTGTTAACTAACTCCCTCGCACAGCTCACTCTCCATGCCTTGTTCCACAACCCACCAGCATAATGAAACCTGAAAAGCCTGATGACAGCAGTGCTAAGTGGAGGATGTTCCCGCCCCAGGGAATTAGTGTCTTCACTGTCTCCTCACAAACAAATAATACTCTTCAAGCTCTGTTAGTGTTTTGATTGGGTAACTGGGAATATTTTTAAATGACTAAAAGTTGAGATTCTGTAAACGTGAAGTACTTTGAAAGAGCTTGAAATGTTAACATGCTATGTGCAGTTCTCAGCACTGGTGCTGACTTACATGATGGTCTGATATTGCAGGTTCTGCACTGGACAAGATAACTGCCAGCCTTTCTGATCTCAAAACAAGGCTTGATTCAAGAAAATGCATTGCACCTGAAGTCTTTGCTGAAAACATGAAGCTCAGACAGGAGACACATCATTTGGGTAAGAATTTCATAAATATAAAACATTCCTAGTCTTACAGCAAAGTGGCCATCACGTAATTCACCTGGCTTTAAATTATTAAGGTGTAGAATGAAGGAAATGTCCAATACTTTCTGCTTAGCTCATGTTCATTGGCCTAATGTGGGTGAAACGAAAATGCAGACTTGTTTTTTTTTTCTGTCTTGGTATATCCAGAGGCGTGTGTTGGGTGCACCTTTCCTTACCAGGTGTTGGGATGGTCCTTTCCTTAGCAGGAAACAAACTAACAGTCTGTTACTCCCTTTTTTCTACAGCCGACTATATTCCGCAGTGCTCGGTTGAAGATCTCTTCGAAGGAACATGGTACCTCGTGCGTGTGGATGAGAAACACAGAAGAATCTACGCGCGGCGCCCGCTGATGGAGGATGAACGTCTGGAGGCAAGAGTTGGAGTTGTCCACCCAGGCGTAGTTCATGAGGTGAACGCTCGGCACTCTTTCTAGCGTGATGTAAATGGTGGCACCGTTCACCCGTCTGTCTTAGCATGTGCATGTATGTTAAGAGGAAGTGGTTTAACGAGTTATACGAAACACTTTTGTTAACATATGTAACATACAAGCCAGAAGTAAAAAGTTCAACATGGGGATATTAAAAAGTACATTTCATCATAAAAAGAATGAAACCGCACAAGAATGAAACAAGAACAAAGTGGCTCTTCTCACACCATCTGTTTGCATGAAGCATGGCCGAGTTGACTGATTTAAGGTCAAGCCGTCCAGTTTAGCATGAATGTTGTTTGAGAGTTGGACTAGCCATGAAGTATGAATGTCTGTGAACTAGAAAAATGTATTTAATGTTTTTTTTCCCTTCTTCTTAGCACATCCCAAGCCCTGCTAAGAAAGTGCCAAGAATCCCTGCAACAACAGAATCTGAAGGCGTTACTGTCGCCATTTCCAATGGGGAGCATTAAGATACCTCTGTGAGGTGGGGAAAGAAACAAGGTGTGAGGGTAGGGTGAGAGAGAGAGAAAAAGGATTGCAGTAGCATTGAAGTTTCAGTGTACAGTAGTACTTCACTGGAGCACAAAAAAGCCTGCTTAAGCTCCTTGAAAAAATTGGTCATAATACGGTGTGCTGATTTTATAGCATTTTCAGAACACTAAAATAAGGAGTGTATTGGAGATAGAGACACTTGCCAGGTGCTGTGTGGATTCCTTAACATGTCTGAGTTATTTTAATTGCTGAGAAATAGCTGTACTAGGTCTTTGTACATAAAAGACAAAAAAAAGGAATCTTCTGCTTGCCCTTTCAATGTAAAATGACTTGAAATCTACACTGTTAACTTCTACTTGTACTCAAGTGTGTGCAACATAGTCCAAGCTTTTAATGTTAGGGTTCTCAGTGCCTTGACAGTAAGCAGTTAATCTTCTGAATACTGCAATTCTCTTTCACTTTATCACCTTCCCTTCTCCCAGTCTGTCTCCCATCACCCCATTGCTTTGGGAGCAGTATAGAACCAAGTAACATCCATAGCTGGAATAGCATCTCTCCTCCCTGTCAGAGTGACTGCATCAAGAATGGCTAGGCTGACAAGTGGTTTTCTTAGAAGAAACTCTGTGGTCCACTGTGTTAGTTACTATGTAATTCCTCCCAACATCCATATTCTGTGTTGTATACCTGCATAGTAATCACAGCAGCCTGGGAGGAAAGAGGAAAAAGAAGGGATGTAGTAAATTTTTTCTTCTGAAGAAGGGGGATCATTGATTTGGCACCTTTTTCTGGATTGTTCAGTAGAAATATCAAAGGCAGCAGAATTTTCAAATAACACTTCTAGATACTGTGGAGCTGTTTCAGTTGGCAAACAAATTAATGGAGTGATCTCCATCACTCTGTCCAGAACTCTGTCTTCTCACCAGTCTTTGCGTAACATTTCTGACTTTGAAATTTGGCTTTGTACTTTGAAGTCCTTCTTGGTAATATTGTAGAAGTGGGGCCTTTTTTTATTTTTATTTTTATTCTTTTTCCAACATGCAAGCTAAAACCTATCCATTGTGCAAGTGGCAGATACAGAGTGCAAATGGGGAGTCCATTCTGGTAGTTTTTTAAAGCCCGGATTGGAAATGAACTATGACATGAGCCTTTGAAGCTTTTTTTTATA